ACTACACCCTCTCAGAACCGACCGTTCCAACCAACAAATTTCATTTAAAAATTACCCCCAAAAGTCACTATTCGTTTCCATAACCTACTCACAAATCTCCAGTATTGGCCATTTCATTTGAACCAATGCAGACCTTTCCCCCATGCACCCTTGATGCCATCCTCCAGGTTGGTCGTTCTGCTTTGACAACCGTCAAGGACCTACCCCTGGAACTACTAAGGAAAACCTCCTCCTCTCCAACTACTTCCACACTCATATCGCTAGTGAGTGCAAAAACATCCTCCTCTCCCAAGCGCACGGATTTGCTTACTTTAATGGCGCCGATGGTACCCTCCGGCAAGTCATCTGCGCTAAGCAGGTCGGCCCAAACTTGCACTGCACATCCGCCAATGATAGCTATGATGTCCCCACCCCAGTTGCCTTTTCTTTAGATGCCCTTGGCAGCAGCGTCATATCTATTGCCCGAGACGACCTCGCTTGAGAATGTCAAGCCCGGCACCTTCATGACGCCCAATACTCTGCCCACACTGCCTTGGCCCCTGATAGCACCGACCCGCCCAAGGACATCCACTGGCCCAGTGGGGACGGAGTGTTCACCAAAGTCAAAAAGTTCTTCCCCATCTACCCTGGTGCCAACATCCCACCAAGCCTTAAGCTATCCACCGCCCCACCGTCCAATCTAGAATCCTTCCACCCCCAATTCCGGCTCTGGTACAAGGCAATGAAGTACCTTCACGATCACAATGAGTCCCAGAGCCTCCATTCCCACGCCCACATCTTCAGCGCCGACACCATCCCAACCGATCGATTTCCAGACAGCGACCTAGCTACGCATCTGACATATTCCCCATCCACCGTCAGTGCATTTGCAGCTGAGGTCCTCACCTACAAAGCCCTCTTCGAAGAATTCAAACAGCACTTGGCCCTCTCTACTTTAGCATCTACTAATCATGTCACTACCCAAGAAGCTCCAGCAGCCCCCCTTCCAGCAGGGGCCCCATTTGATAGCAAACTTTTTGCCCAGATCATGGCCAACGCTCTCAAAGGCGCCAATGCCAGCACCAAGGAAAAAGATCTGGCCCGCACTTCAGCCAGTGCCAAAGACTCTTTCAGCTTGATTTTTGGCCGAGTCAAACCGGTCATCCAGCTTGACGGCTCCACTGTCAACGAATTCCACCCATCCGTCCTCACTGACGACTTTGTCACATTCTTGGAAATCGGTTCGATCAAAGAGGCCCTACGCCACCTCCATGACACCTTTGCCCACATCACCGATACCCTCACCACTCGGAACAATTACGACCGAAACGTCAACTTCGATATTGCCCTCTTCCAACACGCTACAGTCACTGCCCTCAAAACATGCAGCTTTGGAGTTCGCCCCCTCACCATGCACCCC